TTATATTCTCTTCCGTTTGTTTCGTTGGAAAATTCCTCTTTCAATTCGTGTTCGAAAGAATAAAACGTTTGATTGAAATACGCGATACGCTTTGCACACTATAAGCAAAAGATCCCACGTGATAAACATTATCCGTTTAGTTTTACGGTTGACTGAAAAATCTCCTGATTCGATTACGCGTATGTGATTATATTTTAAACAATAGAATGTTACCGTAAATCCGTGAAACGTTAGATTAATAACGATAATTAATTATAATTGACGTATACTCTATGTCTTTCTCTAGTTGAAATCATTAATTAATATTGAAATTAAATCTTCGTTAAAATTATTATATTCGGGCTTCGCGTATTATTTTACTCTTTTTAACCATTTCGTAATATAAAATGTTATTTTCCTCGATGAACTTCAACCCTTTTTCCTGTGCATTATCTCTAACGAGAACTTCTCAAGGACGACTTTTATTAATATCGATCGTGATTACTATAATCTCTCGAGAAGTTTTTTACGAAGCTTTTACTCGTATAACAATAAAGACTAATAAAATAAAAATAAAAAAATATAAGAAAGCAGCAATCTTTTCATGACGAAAAAAAAATAAAAAAAAGATATAATAATAATTCATTATGATGGGTTTTTTTTGTTATCGTTAATTATACTGACAAAAAACCACATTGAAACGAGTAGATATAATAATAAATTTTATTTCTATTTGATTTCCACAGATATTCTTTTGCCATTTCTTTTCTTGGTAACAATTTGAACAAATTGCTACTAACATATGCACAACGAATACAATATCGATTTGTTTTATTATACTTTGCTCAATTTTTCATCGATTATTATTATTATTCCAGTGATATTTTCCACGTTATTTGGAAAACTATCTAAGAGAAAAAGAAAAAGTCAAAGAAAAACAAATATGAACAAAATTCTGCACTCATGCAAATGATATTCGGTAAATGTTCCACACACAGACACACACTCATATACAGATACAAAGAAGAGTAGAGGGAATGACTCAGAAAGTATTCATGGATCAAATGCTATTCTTAAATGTCTGACAAAACCAAACGGTTGAATTAACGTTTCATACGAACACAAGTGCATTGACTTTTATCAAATGATAGAATATAATTCATTCAACGTGATTCATGATGTAAAAATAAATAGAAACGTGTATTTCTGTGTGTAAGTAATAATAAATATATATATTAAACTTTTGAAGTACAAAACAAAATGATCTATCAGTAATAAATTTGTTTTAATATCTTCTTTGCTTGTTTGTTTATCGAAAAAAAATACAAAATCTCGTCATTTTATTATACTTGTTCATGTTCAATAAAACATACTTATAATTGTCACAGAGAATTGATTATATTTTCTTCTATTAATTAAAAAAACAAAGATTTTATTATACCAGTTAAATTATAACTTTAAAAAATAAAATATAAATCTTATAACACATTATGCAAACGCGAGATATTTTCTTGCTGATCGTATTGTTTTTCTTTTTTTTTTTTTTTAATTAATTACGATTTGTTAGTAATCAAAAATTATTGTCGCGTGAAAAATATTTATTTGAATAACATGATATAATCATTTTTTTTTTTTGTATATAACATGATTTAATAACATCATGATATAATCTCATCATTCGTATACAATGTGTTAACATAAAACGTGATTTTAATTAATTGCATTGAGAAGGAAATATTTTTCTTTTATTTACAAACGAATAATATACATTTTATGCAATTTTTTTTTACCAGAACGTTGTACTTTGAATTCAAGTGATAGATTTTTAGTATTAAAAAAAGGAAATACAATGAACGTTATTCTGTTAAATAAATAAATTTTTAACAAATGTTTCTTTAAAAACACATTCTAGTTACTATAATTACAATATAAACATAAACATCGTAATTAACATATTTGTTTCTAATATTATAACAAAATAAATCCATTATTCTATTAATAAAAATAATAATAAAAATAAAAAAAAGAAAATTAATGAAAGAAAGAAACAAATTTCAATGATATCTTCATCGATTTGCACACAGTTGTTTTACAAATTCATTTCAAAACAAAAAAAATCCGCATAATTACTTACGATTTCGATCCGTTGAAAAGAAATTTAACTTTCGTAACGATAAATATAAATTATCACGTAATCGTTCCTATCGCGTGTCTATCTAACATTTATAAAGAATAACAATTGCAAAGAAGTCACCTGACAAAAGTATACTACTCGAAAAAACGTGAAAGAATTTATGATATACGAAATATTTTCTCTAAGGTAAAAAGAAGATGATAAAAAAGATGAAAAGAAAACTAACCACATGGGGAAAAGGAAAAGGATGGAACAAAAAAAAAAATAAATAAAAGAGAGAGGAGGGAGAGAGAGTACTTTTTGATTTAATGTAATTTTATTAATTTTCTCTTTCTCTTTCTCTCTTACATATGTGTTATATTCATTTCTGTAATTATTCTCGGTATCATTTTCAAATCTTACTGCATGTTATATTTTTATTCATATCTTAATGAATTAAACATTTTGTAGTTATTAATTTGACCATTGCAGTAATTTTTTTTTAATCAAATTATATTATATGAGTCATATTATTTCTGTTATTATTCTTGATATCATTTCATTTTTAAATCTGATAGTTTGTTGTTTCTATTCGTATCTT